CCTTAGTGCAAAATCTTCAAACTAAATGGTCTTAGTGGTTAAGTTGTACCAAACTGATGAATATTCGGGGAACATAATGTACCTTAAGCAGTGTGAATAAAAGAAATACATATCTAGGTTCATAAAATGAAACTGAAAAATACCAAAAATAAGAATATATATATATATATATATATATAAAACTATTCTTTTAATTGCTAGAGGGTACATGTACTTGCCAGACAGAGACAGAGGGGAAGGAGGCATACAATATTCCTCCATTTCTCCATCCTGTCAGGATTTGGGGCACATGTGTACACATGCCCAGTGTGGTTTCCAATCCATTGGGGCTGGAATTTGAACCATTATAAGGCAATTGGGAATCCAGATCCATTGGTCACTAGGCTACAGGCCTGCCCTCCTCCTCCTTCTCCTTCTTCTTCTTCTTCTTCTCTCTCTCTCTCTCTCCATACATATATATATATGTATGTGTGTGTATATATATAATATATATATACACACACATACACAAACATTCACACATAATATACATATATAATATATATACACCAACTAAAGAGAAAAGACATTATCTATAAATAAAAAAAGTGAGCCTGACAACAATATTTTAAACAGTTTTTTAAACAACTCTCTTACAAGAATGAGAAAGAAATACCTAGATTTAATGAATAGAGAGAAACACTACCATCAATAGCTCTGTAATAAATAAAGATTAATGTGATATTTCAATAAAAGTGGAAGTGATCCAGGAAAAAAGACTGGGATTCAATATATATTATATATATGTATATATGTGTGTGTGTGTGTGTGGTGTGTGTGTATATATATACACACACACACACCACATACAATATATATTATTATATATACATATAATATGTACATATAATACAATATAATCTGCAGTTCTGCTCTGTTTAGTCTGACGTTAAGTCCATGTATTGATTTCTTAATTTCAATTATAGTATAATTTCTATTTCTAGAATACTAATGGCCAACAGAATTTTATAGGATGGTAGAAATGTGCTGTATCTGTATTGTTTAATATGATATCACCAACAATATCTGACTGTTGAATATTTGAAGTGTAGCTGGTATGACTAGGAAACTAACTTTTTAATTTAAGTTAACTTGAATTAATTTAAATTTAAACACCCCAAAATGGCTAGTAGCAACTGTACTAGACAATATGGTGATAGAATTATCTTTAAAAAAAAATAGGTTTTAATATTTGCTACTTTCTTTCTTTTCTTTTTCTTTTTTTTTTTTTTTTGAGAGGTTTTCGCTATAGGGCGTGTGCGCTCGCCACACAGAGAGAGAGAGAGACATAGAAAAAGAAAGCGAGAAATCACCCCCCAGGGGGGATGGCCATGCCGCAATCCCTTCTCCTCCATTCTCCTCTCGGGATCTTGGGCACGCACGCACACGTGCCCGGCGTGAGTTCTAAGCCACCGGGTCTGGGACGCGAACCGCGGTCGACTACATGGGAGTCCAGCGACATAGCCATTACGCTAACTGCTGGTTCCCAATATTAGCTACTTTCTTAATCTGTTTCTCACTTTATTACATTTTTCTACTTATCTTAAAAACTTTGTAAACCATTTGTTAGTCTTTTTCTTTAGCCTTTTATTTTCTTAATTTCTTACATGTTGGTCCTCTTTTTTGGTTATGATGTATAATTTTTTATTCAATTTTTGAATTGTAGGTAATAATATTATAGAATCTTTGGATGATATTATTTTCATCTAAAGCTAGTGGAATTTTAATTTTTCAGGCAGATTCTTTTCTTTGTAACAAAAGATACTAGTTTTATTATTCATCCATTCACTTGCAACATCTGTGGTCTTATGTAAAGTATTCAACAGTTTCTAGTATTAGTCATTTTTATTCATAAATAGGCTTAACATTCATCTTATCTAATACAAAGATTGAGATGGTAAATAATCAATTTATGAAAACAAATTACTTTTGGAGACATTTTTGCTGTAGTGCACATGAGCTCATCAGAGAGTCAGAGAGTGATAGAGAGATAGAAAGTGAGAAATTGCCCCCTAGGGGATTTGGTCATGCAGCAATCGCTTCTCCTCTCTTCTCCTCTCGGGATTTTGGGCATGCACATATGCACACATGGAGTGAATTTTAAGCCGTCAGGTTGGGGACTCCAACAGTAGTCGACTATGTGGGAGTCCAGCAACGTAACCATTACACCATCTGCTGGTCTCAATTTCTGAAAATTTATCTGCAGGATAATATAAGATATTAAAATTCATAATAATAATTCTTTCATTCAGCATATACATCAATGTTTTTATAGGTTGCCTAAAAATAACATGATTGTGTTGGCTAGAAATTGTTTATACTATTACAAACAAGTTATTTTGCATTTATAAATATGCTGTGACTGTTTTTTTTTTTTAGTTTAGTTTATTTCTTCATGAAAACGAGAGAGAGAGAGAGAAACACACACACGGCACTGAGCTTGTCAGTAAACTGACGTTTCTCCTCAATATGAGAGCCAGTCTTTCTGTAAGCTGCTTCTCTCTTCTCACATAATGTCAGCTTCTCAGAGACTGAACAAGCCTAAATAAAGCAAGAAGCCTGAATAAAGCTCGTATGACACAGATAAAAAAAAAATCTAACCTCAGTTTTTCATTGACAACCCATTTTCTAGGATCTCCTCCCTGCCTGGAAGCCCTAATCTTCCTTCCCTCTCCTAATAAACTCTCCACTATTTCTTCTCTGTGTCTGTGTCTCTAATTTTTCATGAGTGTGAGACAAAAAGTTGAGTTTGCTGCTGCTCCTGTATTGGGTGTTGTGCCACACCCCCTACTTTCTGCATCATAGTTTTCCTACCACATTAGTCTAGTTGTGTTACCCCTGCTCCACCACCTGACCCTATGTCTGTTTTCAAGCTGTCCTTGTTAGAAGAAAATACTTGCTCTCTAGGGGCAATAAATGGCTCCAAAATTTCTATGAACTAATGGTCCTATAATCACAAAGAAAGAACCAATTTAGTACTTGTAGTTTACACTCTCTTATGTGATTCCACAGCAGCTGGAAAGAATCTACATTCTAGCCAGAATTTTAGGCCACAGTCATATTACTCTGGAACACTGAAATCTCAAGTCATCAAGAGAAATAAACTTTGGGACAACCAGTGACATCGTTTCTGTTTATTCTCAGAAAATAAAAGCCAGATTCTTTTTCAGTGGGTATACACATTTCCTTATTCCTTCATTCCACTGTAGCACAAAAGAAAGCTTGTTCCCTTATCTTACATTTTATTAAGTGGAAAAAATTCTTTTCTACTTAAAACATCATCTTCCTCGTAAACAGCATGATTAACTTGACATTGTGCCAAATCATCTCTGAGAATCTAGATAATATTAAAGGCCTTTATTTTGCTAAACTCATGACTTGCTATTTTCTCATTACTTTTTCTATTACTTAAGCCAAGATTTTTTTATTTGTATTTCTGCCCTAAATTCTAGCAATCCTTGGACTGCTTTGACAGAATTAAGTATCTGAATAGAGCAATCATATCAATAATATGAAAAAGTTTTCCTTGTAAAATGCTTTTTGTTCTTCAAAAACACAGGCCAGATGGTGATACAGTGGTAAAATGTAATGCTGCATGAGCTCATCCCATGGAGGTGGGTTCGCAGTTCAAGTCTAGATACCTCCCTGGTACACAGGGCACGCACTTGCCTGTAATCTGGGGCTGGCTAAAGTCTGCAGAGAGGAGTAGCATTGAAACCCTGTAGGAAGTATTCTCTCTTTGTCTCTCTCACTCATGTAAGAAATAAACAAGCTTCAAAAATAATTATTAATTTTAGAATCAAGTGCCTATCATTGAACATGCTCTTTTCAATTTACATTCTGGTAAATAAATAATACTGACCATCCATTGCTCTTCAGAAGAAAAATGATTCTCTTGTTAGACAGGCTGCTAAGTTAAAAATATCTTTAAAAACCTGCTTAAAGGCTCATTTCCCTTTGGATGTCCTCCACAATGTCTTTAATGTGCTTGATTTGGGTAATAACACCCGGCAGTCAGGGAAGACAGAAACAGCCACCTTGATTACTCTCTCAGCATACTTATGCATGAACTGATTCTTGATGCATGAACAGAAACACTTCAAAGTCATCTTCTAGATATCCCTCCAGGTTTTTCTTTTCTCTTAACAGGAAACTATAATATTTCTTCTCTTACCAGAAAGATAATTGAGATATTAAAGCATGTTATTTTCACAAAGCCTAAATAAAAATAACTATGTTCATATATAAAGATCTACAATGGGGCATTAGTTCCGTAGCACTGGCTATACACGTCAACTATCCCAGGCAACTTCTCCTAACAGCTGCTTAATTCTTCTCTGTATTAATTGTGGCTTTAGGAAACCAAACCAAACCAGAAAAAAAAAAAAAAAAGAAAAAGAGAGAGTGAGAGAGAGAAAAAAAAGAGAAGAAAACAACCATGTTAATGGCATGTGTTACCACTTTCAGTATGTCACAGCAGAAAAATATGCTAATCAAATGTCTGGGCTTTACAAATATCTTAGCAATCAATTTGATTTAAAATGCTCTGCAACTATAGTTACTGCAACTGGAAAGGCTCATTTCTTTTGGCTATTATTTCTAATGCTGCTAAAGAGATGCATTTGGGGAAACACTTAGCAGAAGCACTAAATCAGCATTACAGATATATACCCAGGGACCAGATGAAGCTATAATTACAGCCAACTTGTTTTTCAGATGAGGTTTTATTTTTTCTAGACTTGATAGATGGTTGTGTTTTTAAAGGTAATATATGTCTCGAGTGGATTAACTCAGGAGAGTAATACAAATATGCTCAAAAGCATGAAAACATATAGGAAGGGAGTGATACATATACATGTATACAGGGAGAAATCAAATGATCACAAAGTCCATTTCCTACTTGACTCTTACAGAACAGCCCTAAGACAGCATTGAACTTAGAGTCAGGAGGGGTCGGGACAATGGAAATAGCTTTGTCAATATCTAGTTGTGTTATCAGCGGGAGACGTCTAAAACCTGATTCTCTTGACCGTGGTACTGTTGGCATCTGAGCTGAATTATTTATTTATTTATTTATTTTTTTGGAGAGGTTTTTGCTATAGGGCGAGTGCACTCACCAGACGAGAGAGAGAGAGAGAGAGAGAGAGAGAGAGAGAGAGAGAGAAATA